CCCCGAGACGCCGCCTCGGAGTCTCGCCGAGTGGCGGGGAGTGGGGGGCTCGTGTGACGGCCTCTGGCCCCTGCAGGCTCCAGCTGGGGACCAGACCCAGGGCTGGAGAGTGTCCTGCACTGGTGGGCCCCTGGGGGCCGCCCTGACCGGGTCCTCGGGAGCAGGTTTCCGGGTGCAGCGGCCCTGTGGGGCGACAACAGACACCGTGTGTGTCCCCTGCGCCGGGGGGGACCTTCACCGCCCACCTGAATGGCCTGGGCGGGTGTCTGCCCTGCCGGGCCTGCGACCCAGGTGCCTCGCCCCCGAGCCCCGCTTCCTGTTTTGCTTTCGGTTTCTCGGGGTGCGCGCTGCTGCACGGCAGGTCGGGCGCCGGCATGAGGGGGCCGCAGGGGTCGCTGGAGGGTGACTGCCCCCGGACAGTGGGGGTTTCCTGGGCCTTTGTCCTGCTCCTGGTGAGTCCTGGGCCTCGGCCCCCAGGCCCGCTCCTGCCCTCTGCCCCACTGCCCAGCTCTGGGCCTGCCCCTGCCCCCAGGGTCCTGCCGGGGAGGGCGGAGGCCGGGGCACCCAGGCAGCGGGCCCTGTGTGGTCCGGGCCGCCCCTTTCCTGGCTGAGGGGAGCTTTCCCCTGCGGCCTACCGGGGGCTGCCCTGAGGGGTCATCCCGAGGGTGGGGCCAGGGCCTGTGCAGAGGCTGTGCGGGAGGGGAGGGGTCTCCCCCCTTTCCTGAGGGCCCACCGCGGCCTGTGGGCACCAGGCCGGGCAGCGCCAGCGGGGGGAGGGCAGCTCCTGCCCAGTGGGGCTCAGCTCCTGGGAGGGCGGAACCCGGTGCGTAAGGCCCACGCACCCGCAGGGCTCGCCGCGTCCCCGGCCGGGGGTGCGTGGGCCTCGGGCACGCCGCAGAGGTGGGTGACATGCAGCCAGCCACCCGCCCCCAGGCGCTGGCCCTGGGCGCCCTCCTTCCCATCGACTGGACGGTGATCCTGTGCGCCTCCAAGTCCGGACCCCCTGCCCGGCGCGTGGGGCTGGGCCGCTGGATGCGCCGCGCGGCCCTCGGCTGTGGGTCACCCAACAGCGAGCATGTTTGTGGGTGTGTCACCCCCATTTTCAGCAGCTGCAGGGAGCCGGCCGAGTGGGCGGTGCAATCCGGGGAGCGTCCTCCAGTGGCTCCCGGGCTGGACCGGCCGCTGCCCCTGGCCTCCCCCTGCCTGGCGGCGCTTGGCGGGAACCTCGATTGTAGATGCTGACACGCGGATGCCAGACTCAGCTCGGGCACCATGGGCGCCCCCCCCCACCGCCCAGCCAAGCCCGAGGCTGGCCGTCCACCTGCCCGCGCGGAGCCCTGCCCCCTCCCGTGTGTGCTGGGCTCCTGTGCTGGTGCTGGCCACCTGGGGGCCTCTGCCACCGTGCTGTGACCCCAGGGCTGTGGCCTGTGAGGCCAGCCTGTGCCCGGGTCCCTCGCAGGAAGGCCCTGGCTGCTGCCCCCGCTCAGCTGGGTGGAACCC